CCGGGGAGGGCACGGAGGCTCGGGCGCCTGCGCAGTCAAGGAATTCCTGGCCCCGGCCTGCGCGGCCGCTTCCTGTTTCTCAGCCACAGGTGTCCGCGCCGCTTTTGGGACGAGGTAGAACGCTTTGCATGCTTGAGTCTCGAAGGAAGCGTTCGGGCGCCGTATGGAGGTCGCAGCGCTGCCTTGAAACCTGCCTGACCCACCGTTCCCAATTGCCACTGTTGTCTTCGTTTCCGTTAAGATCAGAATGTAAAAAGTCCTGTGACACCACCCGTTGTCCCCAGCGCCTTGCTGCCCTGCTAAACCGAAACTTTTGCACCCCCTAATCTATGTGACTGGCATATATATGTCTGGGGAGGAAGCAAGCCTTTCAAATGGCCTTTAGAAATACCAAGAGTCTAAGGACCTCCGGCCTTTTGAAAATAGGCGCGGCTGTAACCTTATGTCCTTGGCAATGTAGAGGGCGTCATGCTGCACGCCAAGGCCGGGTAACACAGTTCTACCCAACTGCATTAATTGCACCTTACTTGTAAGGGAAAGCCAGACTATTCATATGATCAACCGGGTATCGGCTATAGAGAATCGAGCAGCTTTTTCCGAGCGGTGATCAAATGCTAAATTAGCAGGTCTTATCCTAACACCCTGTTAGAGATAGAGAAATAGCTGTAGGTTATGGTATACACCTTTCTCCACCCTTCAACTGAAATGTCAATTCCACGAATAAAAAGAGTTTGTCTTGTCCCCTATCATAGTTATATCTCCTAGCACAGTGCCTGGCACACATAGTTGGAGGTAACTACTATTTACTGAATGAATTAATGGAAAATGAGTTCCCAAGGTCCTCAGACAGTGGTAGGGAAGCCAGAATGATGAATCCCAGTCTCCTGATCCTAACCAGGGCTTCTACTTTGCCATGAGGGGTAGGGTGTGACTAGGAGGATCCCACAGGTAACCCCTTGCCTAGGTCACTCCAACCTGTTAGGTAAGTGAACTCAGAAGATAAAACAACTGTCATTTCAACTCCTGGTGATTACCCTATTGGGAGCTTGTTAGCTCCTTTGGCTCACTAGAAAAGGAAAATTAGATTTCATCACTACTCTTTTTGGGTATCTATTGCTCTCTGATTAAGCACTGAAACTGAACTCTTCCTTTAGTCTTTCTGTACCTGGTGTTCTGAAACAGAAGACAAGACAATTAACAATAAAATAATCCTCAAATAATATTTACTGAGTATCCATTGTGTGCCCAGCAGAGCTAGCATAACAGAAGCCTGGAGGGAGATAAAGAAACTATTAATATTTAAAATCTAAAGCAAGAAGGCATTTTAACAGGTTGGGGTCATCACAGAAAAAAATTAGCATTAGAGGCACAAAGGACAGACCAGGTCTGATGTAACAAATGGGTAACAGACAGATATACACAGAAATGTGAAGATTCAAAACTTTGACATACTTTAAAGGTTCCCACGTTTTTAGATTGTGTGCGGGACGTGGACTATGTAAAATTGCACATTCACTATGCGAACCACCCTATATCGTAATCTGAAGAGTCTTCCTGGGGGAAATGATAATTCTGGATCTCCAAGCAATGTGTCGCCAGCCTTGGACATGGGAGTTGTCTCCTGCCCTTGAAGTCTAAAAGAAGACAAGGCTTTACACGTGATCGCAAAGAGATTAGAATGAGAAAGCTCAAGAGAGGAAATCCGATTCTTTCATGCTCCATCTGAAAAGAGTTACTTATGATTCCATTCTGGAAAATCATCTGTCCAGCATATTTTGGTGGCGTGCAGAAATTTGGCAGAAGTTTAGAAAAATAGGATTCTAAACCAAAGTTGCAGAGTTATTGAATAGGCTAGAAAAACGGGAAATTCAGCAGTTATCAACCAAAGAGTAAGGGCAAGACAACCAATGTTTAATAAAAGGGATGGCCCGGACTGGTTTGGCTCAGTGGATAGAGCATTGGCCTGCAGACTGAAAGGTCCCAGGTTCGATTCCAGTCAAGGGCATGTACCTTGGTTGCCAGCACATCCCCAGTGGGGGGTATACAGGAGGCAGCTGATCAATGTTTCTCTCTCATCTCTCTTATCAATGTTTCTAACTCTCTATCCCTCTCCCTTCCTCTCTGTAAAGAATCAATAAAATATATTTTTTAAAACAAATTAAACAAAAAGAATGGCCTGGCCAGTATGAGCCAGTGGTTGAGCATCACCCAGGAACTAAGAGGTCACTGGTTTGATTTCCAGTCAGGGTAGATGCCTGGGTTGCAGGCTCAATCCCCAGAGAAACAATGAAGTTTCTCTCTCATCAATGTTTTCTATCTTTCTATCCCTAACCCTTCCCCTCTCTCTAAAACATATTTTTTTAAAAGGACAGATATTTAATGTATGAATATTTATTGAGTACCTGCTATGCTCCCAGCATAGTGCCAATTATAGAAAATTCAGAAGCAGATTCTGTCCCGCAGCCCAGACAGCAGAAACCTAAGAAATCTTTATAAAAGAAGACCAGCCCAGCCAGTGTGACTCAGCGGTTGAGCATTGACCTATGAACCAGGAGGTCACGGTTTGATTCCTGGTCAGGACACATGCAGGCTCAATCCCCAGTGGGGGCCGTGCAGGAGGCAGCTGATTAATGATTCTCTCTCATCATTGATGTTTCTATCTCTCTTTTCCTCTCTGAAATCAATAAAAGTATATTTTAAAATAAGACCAATCCTGGTAATTTTTTTTTGAACTTACATTTATCTAAAGACCACTTTCTCTTAGTTACCATCCCTTTAAAGATACTAAAATTCCAACCTCCTCACCTCCCCTCAAAATAAAACTTTTAAAAATGCAAACATTTATCCATTTTTTTCACTCATTAAAGAATCATTTTTATACAAACCTAATATGAAAATATGGAAAAAGAAGTATGGAGAACTCATACTTCCCAATTTCAAAACTTACTACAAAGCTACAGTCATCAAGACCATGTGATACTGGCATAAAGATAAACACATAGGTCAGTGGGATAGAATTGAGAGCCCAGAAGTTAATCCATATGGTTATGGTCAGTTGTCTTTGACGGGGTGCTGAGACAATTCAGTGGGGATGGGGGGAGGAGAAAAGTCTTTTAGCAAATGGTGCTGGGGCAACTATATATCTACATACAAAAGAATGACGTAGACCCCCACTTCACAATTTACACAAAAACTAACTCAAAATGAGATAAAACTATCGAATCCTTAGAAGAAATTAGAGACAGAAATCTCAGTGCCCATGGATTAGGTGACAATTTCTTAGGTGTGACACCAAAAGCACAAACGACAAGAGAAAAAAAGTAGATATGTTGGACTTGACTAAAATTAAAAACTTGGTGCTTCAAAGGACACTAAAGTGAAAAGACAAACTGAACATTGAGAGACTATATTTAAAAATTGTAATTATGTTAAAGGACTTTGAAATATGTCAAAAATTTATAAAGAAATCTTATAAACAATAAAAAGACAACCCAATTTGTAAAATGGACAAATAATTTGAATTGACATTTCTCCAAAGAAGATATACAAATAGCCAATAAGCACATGAAAAGATAGTCAACATCATTAGTCATTAGGGAAATGCAAATCAAAACTCACAGTGAGATACACTTCACACCCTATAGAATGTCTATTATATAAAAAAAAAAAAAGACAGACAATAGCCAAGTGCTAATGAAAATGGAGAGAAATTAAAAGGCTTGGACATTGCTGTGGGATTTTGAAATGACACAGATACTTTGTAAAACAATTTGACAGTTTGTCTATGATCCAGCAATTCTATTCATAGGTAT